ACTGGATTGCAACCGTTTCGCATTCAGTGAGCCTTTGACTTTTTAAGTTACTGTATACTTCTTTGTAACCCATTCATTCATCTCCAACATGCTATGGTTGACGAGGCATTTGTCAACATTGCTTCTTCGGGCCCTTGGGGACGAATCAATGCATCGGACACTACTCAGCAGCTTGTACGTTCCGTGGCTACAATGATGAATTTTGATTCTGAGTTGTGATGTAGAAATTACAAGGCTTCAGTGGTGCTGTAGCAGGTGACTGAGCAGCTCCATGCCGAAGGGCATGGCGACTGGACGCTGGGTCTTCTAGTAATACTGACCATAAACTTAGCCCTTTGCCGGAACAGCGCAGCGAGAAGCATCCTCTTGCACACCTCTGCATGGCAGTGCCAATGACCTTTCGCATTCCCAAAGTTGCATCCTTCGGGTCTTCCGCAAAAGCGTATGCAAGGCGTTCCTGAAATTGTGCCATATCCAGTTTGGTCCGACTTCGCCTGAGTTGGATTCAATGCAAAATGGCTCCCAATAGGCGCCGCCCCGCCTAGCGTCAGCTAGGCCGGGGTCGGCGGATATAGGTACCCAGACACTTCATGTATGGAATATCTGCCTACATTGACTCCCGAAACCGCCCCAATCTAGGCAAATATGGCATACATCATGGAGTGTGTGGGGTGTAACTGGGATAGATTCTGCTGGCCTGTATCAAGGTTTGCTATACTTTGCCATGGCTTGCATATAGGCTTTTCTGGTGTCCTGGTGCAGGTGTCAAGCGCGAAGCAAAGGAGGAAACACGCAAACCGAAGCATTTCAATGCCGCCAAGAACTAAAATTCCTTGATGTCTTGCCCTCAACTTGGTTTGTGAAGTGGGCGTCGTTAAGTCTTTATGATTTATATGTTTTATTTTTTGTGTTTCCTGACGCTTCCTCTACCAAGAACAATGCACCTGCGACGGCCTAGGAACCCAGTAGGGTACCAACAGTTCTGGAATGGTTGATGAAATGTAACTCTGTTGTGTTGCTTCGTTGCTCGAAATCCCAAACTCTTCAAACTCTTCTGTTGTGTTGTTTTTTCTTTACTTTTAGTGTGCAAAGTATCTAATTTTTTGGATTTCAGGCATGAAGCCTTGTGTTCCTGGAAGGCCTGCCACCACCAGTATCATGTTTGTACCAACCCAAGAAGCATTATGCCACCATGGATGGGTGATTTGGATAGGGTGATTTGAACCTTATCCAGTCCGGATGGGGGCAGGATGGAAACCTTTTTTGGGGATTCAACCGAGCCCTGTGAAAGAACTCACCAGTTCTTAAAATGGATTTAAGCAGTACTAATGGGTCGCGAGTCTCCAACACTCCATGTACTTGACTATACTTGACTCACTTCACCTCCAATACTCAAAAACCAAAGGGTAAATCATTACCTATCCAGACACTCCAAGCAGCCCTTGTCCTTCAAAACCTGGGGATTTGAGACCCCAGACCACTGTTCATGAGCGTCTGGGTAATATAGCATACATGTGTTGGAGTGACCAGCCGGAGCCCGCAGCCCCCCCAGTTTTTCTGCTCCACAACCGAACGGCAGATCTGGTGTGCCAGCATCGACCCAGAGGGCGGAAAGAAGGCGTGGAACTGGCGCGCATGGAACAGGTCCCAGACACGGAAGAGAGACCTGCATGGAATAGATGAAACGTGCATAGACTTGCACGTTCTATATGTGTTAGATGCACGTTCCATAAATGTATACGCCTGCATTGACCACTTTTTCAACCACCCCAACTGATGGGCCAAGATGCCAGTCCTTGCCGCATCTGGCAATGCCACGGCTGGTGACTTGGGGGGCAATCCCAGTGGTGACTCTTCCCACGTACGCCACATGCAGGCCACAGGTTCAAAGTAGGCACTGGGAATTCACCATAAGCCTTAGAAGTGACTTAAATTCAGGCCCCGTATTTGCAGAATCCCAGTTGGACCCCCCCAGTAGGAGGTCACTTTGAAGGGCCAGAGACGGTGGGTTTTAGTATATATTCATATAGTTTCAAAGTCCTTCCCCCCCTGCCAGAGATCGTGCTTTAGAATCCAATGATTTTGTTGTTTGCTGTCTTTAGTAGGGATACATTCAGATGTGTTTGTTTCAGTAAAGCATATAATATCGAAGCCCAAAAAGAACTCATTTTGCTTAGAAGTGGTTCCTTAAGCAAATCTAAGTCGCTCCCAAGAACCCCAGGCCGTTCACTCCACGTATGCGCACTGCCTACGCCCTGAAATCAACCACCCCAACAGATCGGGAGTCCTATTTGGAGATGGGTCAAGCTACCTGGAGCCCTGGTGAACACGTAGCTTCACGACACGACCCTTTCAGGTGATACGATCATGTACAGGTCCCGTGGTGTTGACCCACAACATGCCAGTCTTACCCAGACACTCCATGTATGGGATAATATATCCCGATCAATTAGGGTGGTTTTCGGGGTCAATGTAGTGTAACATATGCCAGTCCCATTCGTCGTGTCTGGGTTATGGAGGCTTTCGAAAGGTTGGCCAGTTCCCACCAGCCCTGGCATGCCTGAACCCATCGGCGAACCACAGCACCGACTCCGACCGAAGCCTCGCCTCCTGCGGCGGCGCCCGCCTCGGCGCAGGCGGTGACGGGCTCCTCCGATCGGCACTTGATGGTGTGGGACTTCCGCAGCAAGTCCTGCGTGAGGCGGGTAGCGGGGCGGCGGCGGCGGGGTTGGGTGAGCTTCGGGCACCGTTTCGCGCAACTGGCAACTCGCAACTGGGCAGTTGGTGGTTAGTAACAGGCTCCGAATCTGTTTTATAGCGACCAGGAACGGAAGACATGGACCAGAGCGGGTCAACGGTAGAGCCCATGGGTTTGGAGTGTGTCCCAATATCTGTAGCAGTTGGTGAACAAGGAAAGACTGTTCTTCAGATGTTGGCCTGCAACCTTAAGCATCATCATCCACTGAAAACCGGGGAATAGGATACACATGGATAGACCCCAATGTGAGAATTGGACCAATGTGTGATCAAAGATCCATTGAAACTAGGGAATAGGAAGCCACCCAAACCCGCTTTGGAGCTCCAGGGGCTTGACTCCATGCCTCTCGGTGCCTCTTGGTCCGTTCGGAAGGGTTCAGACATCGGTTTTTTCCGTGGATCCTAAGGAGGCCATCCAAGGATCCCACCTTTCTTCTGCACCGCTGGACATGTGGATTCTCCTGGTTCACTTCACCCAAACCTTTGTGTTGTTTCGACTGCCCGGTTCCGGATCGACGGACTTCGCCGGCAGTACGCCGTTTGGGTCACCGGATCGACGGAATCCCTCACCGCCCACCCGCGAAAAGCTGCCTCAGCTGCCCAAAAGAATCACCGAAACCAAAAGAAGCAGAGTCCCACCCAAACCAGAAGTACACCTGGTGACACCGAAACCAGAAGACATCGGCCCAAGCTGCACAAACCAAGCACCGCGAAAACGAGTCTCTGGACAAGACCGGTCCTGGGGGACGACCACCGGCGTTTTCTCCGAGTCTTCGGTACATGGAGGGGCGGGAATTCCAAGGCTACGGCGTTCCGAAAGAGTCCAGAATTGGCAAGCAAGTGAGCCTCCTCACCGGAAGGGGACAGACCAAGAGAGGGGGTTGAACAGCCTGAAAAAGCCCATCCAATATGTACCACAGACCAGGGTCCGAACGTTCAGGTCTCAAAAAACCTCTATTCTTGGTCTGCCCTGCTTTGCTTCACGCGCCAGGGCCATGTTGCAACACAATCGACATGTGGTGGACCTGAAAGTGGATTGGCCCACGTGAGCCCGTGCATGTTTGGGTGCCACGGACTGGACGACTTGGGGCGTTTTGGTGGTTTGCTTGATCCCATGGTCACACCAAGAAGCTTTGGATGGGTTGTCCGCGGTTGGAACACCTCACCAGCTGGGCATCAACCCGGTCTTTTCTGTGGCGCTTGGGGTGTGGCTGAAACAGCAAGCGGCCAAGTCACACCATACAAGTTGCAAGACGGCCTTGGGGAGTGGAGAATAACATCCCGCCTGAATGGTTGCAATCTGACGGTCTTTCTGCCTTTTTTGTTACTAGTAATGCGCTTGTGTAGCGATGCACTTGTTACTAGTCGAAATGCCCGCGTTCACCGCTTTTTTTTTCATCCTTTGAAGTACAAAATAACAAGGTGGGGCCTAAGAAGTTTTCAGTGTGCAAACCGGAGTTTGCAGGTCCTGTTTGACCTGTCTATATAAGTGTTTTCAAAGGTGGCGCTAGAGAACTCATGCCGATTCATGGCTGAATGTTCATGTTTTTGACTTGCGTTTTTTCTTCAGCTGAAAGGAAGGAACTCTTCGTATCGTCCCCACATCCCAGTCTTTGACGTCTGATTCTGGGGACCAAAGCGGCCAGCTGGAGTTGAAGAACTGCTGGCGCTCCAAGTTGAGGCACCCATTTTCAATGTTTTCCGTCTGCTTGAATCGGCACACATGAATCGGAGTAACGGGGGTCTTCACATCTGAGGTCTTTTTGTCCTGGCAAAATGAATCACCAGCTGGAGATTTCCGGTGTGTCGAATGAGGGGCCCACTAAGTCCCATGGAGTTGGGGAAGCGATTTCTGAGAGGTTTAGAGACGTGAGACGGAACCCGTAGTGGTACACATGGGATGGGTTATATGGCTGTTCAACTTGTCTTGGAGTTCACTGAAGCAGGGTGCCAGCAGGAATTTGATGTTGCGTAGCCTGCAGAACGTCAGCTGCATTGAAGTTTTTGCATCTCAAAAAACCAAGGTAGCCAAGATTTCGTGCATCAAAATCCAAGCTGTTTTACTCAGTCGAAGAAGTGTACCATGGAATTGTCAAATCCCAAGAATGTGTTTTTCGATGTTTTAATGGAGATAGAACGAGCCAAAGGCCTGTAGCTGTTGAACAAGTTGTTTTCCATCAGTGAATATCACTAAAACGTTTACAGAATTTAAAAAACACACAATTTTTTTTGTTTTGACCGCCATGAAGCGCCCTTCCGCCGACCACGACGCCAAAGACAGTTCCAAAGTGCCGCGCAGCTGCGCGCCGCTGCCGACGCCCACGGCAGACGCCCAGCAGTTGGCGCGGCTCCTGGAGGTCATCGAGTCAGAGGCCAGTCGAGTCACGTCGGGAAGAGTGGCCGGGGCGAAGATGGGGAGGTCATCTCAAGGAAGCCATGGACCAGCTATAGACGCGCAGCCTCGTGGTGCATGAGTCAGTGTCTATATCTATATAATATAGACTCTTGATTAATAAACCTCTCATGTGAAGAGGTTGTTCAATTCAAATGGAGCGGGTTGTTAATCAAGAGTCTATACATTAGTTTATCGATGCACGTTCTTGGACTGGGTCATCGATTCGCACAGCTTGGTCAGCAGAGTTCGGCAGCTTGGTCAGTTGCTTTATCCCGTGCACACTGACATGATGCCCTCAGAGATTCCGAATGCATGTTCTTTGACCCCAAAGGCTTGACCTGAGGTCACTGGACCCTCCGTTCGCTCGGGTTGCGCCTCAGACAGGTTGAACCCTTGTGCTGGGCCCATGCCATGTGCACCACCGGGTCCCGGGTTCCGGGTTCCGGATTTCCCCCTAAAACCTCTCAACCGCTTGTAGGAGTTCGAGGTGTGTGTCTTTGGTGCGGTGTGATCAACAACGAAAAGAATGAACAACGATCAGCTCGAAACAGAACACCGAAACACAGCCAGGGAGCCTGGTGGTACGAGCATATGGGAATTCGCATCTGCTAAAGCAACACCCTGGCTGGGTGTTGCTAAAGGATGCGAATTCCCATATGCTCGTCCCATTCGCAACAAGACTCTTCCTTCAGAATGATTTGTTCGGTCGAACAGTTGGGTGATCAGTCCCTTTTCACCTCTTTGGAATCACGGATTCCCGGACACGGACCTGTCTGGGACTGCCCAGACTTGATCAGTTGAGGGGTGGTGGGTTTTGGGGGGTTCAATATAGGCATGTAGGGCAGTCCCATGGAGTGTTTGAGTGGATCATTCCCCAGAGCAGCTGGGGAGTCAGGAATTCGGACTCCCACAGTTCTTCACCCCGCCGCGTCACCGCGCCGCTCGTGGCGGCGAGGTCTTGCCGAAGACGGCGCAGGGGGTGAAGGAGGGCAACAAAGTCTTTGGCGCCGCGGTGCTGCGTAGCTCAGCCGCGGTGGCGGTTTTTGGTGCTCGAAGAGTTTTTCTTTTAGAGCAGACAAAATGGGACTGGAATAGATAGATGGATGGACCATAAATGAAGGTAATTAAATGTATGATCACTATTCTATACATGGATGGATTGAACATCATTCCTCTGGGAGGTTCTTGTTCTCTTTCTTGCGAGAGGAATTGATTCTATGCGGTGGAAGGATGCAGTGGGTTTTTCATAATCTGATGGCCTACGCATGATTTTTTGTTATGAACCTGTACGTCACCGCATCACGTGAATTGTCACTCGTCGGAAGGACTGATCGATCAACCCGATAAACCACTATCCAGGTGCCGGTCTATCCAGGTGCCGGTTCTGGGGTGCCGGTTCCAAACCGTTCGGAAGTCGGGATGCCCATGGTGCATGTCCATTCACGTTTGGGAAAGCAAAACACCCAACTCCATGTGACTCCTGGTACATGTTATTTGGTTGGTGAAGCATGGGCTTAGCATCTTCAAGCTGTTCAAGCCATTGGATATGAAGCCGTTGGATGTTCAACCCAATGGCTGAGGGTGATCCATCGTGAAAAGCACCACTTCTGATCGATTGATCTGTGGGTGCCTGAAAGGTGGCACGGAGCCCGGATGTTTGGTCGATCACATCTACCTTCGGGATGTAGCTGGAAAGGGGATGGTGGCCCCGGATTGGCTGAAGGAGGAAAGGAAGAACATCGACTAAAAAGAAAGAAACAGAACCACCTCTTGTTTAGACATCCAAAATGTGACCTTTTCCTAGTCCTTTTTTCTATAAAAACTGGGTCAACCGGTCAACTAGGTTCAAACATGTTCAAACTTTGACTTTGTTGAAGCTGTTGGCTTGAGTTCTTAGACGCCTCATGGAGAATGAACATGGCAGCCTGATTTGCGAGGGAATCTGTTGAGAATATTGGAAACCGGCCGTGTCCAAATAGAATTCCCAGATTAATTTACCAATATATATGCCCACACCATCCATGTATGGCATATTTACATACATTGACCCTGAAACCACCCCAATGGGGTGGTAAATATGCCAGTCCCATGGATGATCTGGGAAGGTGTGACGGTGTGGGTCACTGTAGGCATAGTCCAGCCAAATGGATCCCAAACACTCCATGGGACTGGCATATTTACCACCCCATTGGGGTGGTTTTAGGGGTCAATGTATGTAAATATGCCATACATGGAGTGTCTGGGGATTGTTTGGGATTTGCACGGAACCCCAAACCGAGTCACTGCACCTCCCCCGGCACGAACGGACCAGCTCAAGCTCTTTAGCCTCTGTGCTGAACGCGCGCCCTCGCCGGTGCCTCCCCCCCAGTCCAACGACTTCAGTATTCGGCATCTTTGCCGATCAGGCCAGGGGTGGTGCCAGAGGGGTCAATTGAGCATATAACAGACATGGAGTGTACCTAGGCGATGTGGAGGGCTATCCCACCCTCATCGCTGAGACGAACCACGAGATCCTTTGTCCCCTGTGCCCCCGCGAGACGCCGCGTCACGGCGTTCGGCGCGAGAATTCCAACGTGGCCTCGCCGCGCAAGTGTTGGGTGCCGAGACCGGAGGACGTTGAGATGGTTGACCACGAGTTGTCCGTCATCGGACACGTTTTTGGTTTCAACTTCAGTACCTACAGGACCTAGACAGGACCTACAGTACTCCTACAGTACTCTCTCTGGAAGTACTCTCTCTGGAAGTAATGACATGGTCTCACGTGGGCATGGCCTTCCACTTTGGGTCTCCAAAGTCGGAAGACCGGTGTCTACAGGGTCTTCCGAGTGGGTCAGACTTGCGGGGAAGACCCTTCTATAGAGACCCAATGTCATGGAATTTCATCGGAGTTGGTGCATCAAATGACATCGTCATGTGGCATGATTGCGTTTGTATTTTTCTGTGACAAGACTTCTTCGAACACGCCAGCAAAAGAGAGGAAGGTGCAGCTGCGCTTTGGATGTTTTAGATGAAACTGACTCAGAGATGTAAACGCGACACTGCAATAATCTGAAATACCTTGATGTTCAATGATGTTCATTAATTCATTGTTTCCTTTGCAGAAGTGAGCATAGCAAGCTGAGTTTGGTTTTAAAGCAGGTACCATGGCGAGGTGTACACCATCAAGAAGCTCAGTGATCTGCCGCCTGAGCAGCGTGGCAAGCCTGAGGACAGTTATCTGCGGCGTGGCAAGCCTGTGCCACTCTTCAGTGGCTCCAGATCTGAAGAACCGTCGTCGAAACGATCCGAACCAGAGGTAGCCAGTGACCTGAACGTTCGGACCCGTCACCAGGGGTACCCAACGTTCGGATAGTTGAACCAGGGTTCTTCAACCTCCGCTGGATGATCGAAGATTTGCCCAGGATTTCGGTTCTTATGTTTAAAAATAGGCGCAGGAGAACCTCCTGTTGTTGCGAATCAAGAAAAGGTGTATGTTCGTTAATTATGGGAGTGAACTCCACTTATCTCCACTTGCATGTTCGTGGGTGGGAGAGTAGTTTTGGATTTTCGTATTAGGGTTCTTGTTGCATTTCCAGCTTCTGTCAGTAGAAGATACTAAGAAGATCTTCATTTGTGTGACTAGGCCAACCTTCCGAACCTCGTTCATCAGTGGTCATGGGCTAATACGTACCCCCAAAAAAAAACTGAAGAACAGCTGCTTCCATTCTCCTTGACCTAGGCTACTGATTATTCCATGCAGACATTAAACGCCATTCAATTCTTCTGTCAGGAGAGCCTCTTCCTGAGCACACACGAGCCATGCTGCATGTGTGTTTCCGCCATCGTTTGGGCCGGATACAAGAAGTACCTTGCCGGAAGATGGGATTGGAGCAGAGCGCCGGGCGAGGACCGCAGGGCACCAGCCTATCCCATATAACCACAGCGCACCAGCCTATCCCATATGTCATATGTACCACTGGTCCTACGGATCCTAGTTCAGGTCTCTCAAAGTCTCTTGGTCAGTGGATCACCGCAAAATTTAGGCTTTGTGGTGTTGCATTGCAATGATGACCATGAGAGGTTTTTGTGTGTCACCCTGTTGTAACGTGAGAGATGGATCAGGTGGAAAGTGAACTGTGAAGCTTTACTGTAGACTCTCGAAATCACCATGTACATAATACAAAGACAACCTCTTCAAGAGTGTGTTCAATCCAAATGGAGTGATTATCAATCAAGAGTCTGTCCAAGCCACGATTGCTAGGATTTTGAAGGGAGACCTTGTATTTTTTGGGGCTGAAATGGTCGGATGGTTACTGGCTACAAGGACCTACGGCTCAACGATTCTTCTATCAAACCCAGATTTCCGGCGGATTTCCGTGGAAGACTCGTCCGCTGCTCGCGGAGCCGCGGACCCGGTCGACGTGGCGACCGTCTGAAGCGCGACAAGGATCATCTACCTGTTTCCCTATGAATCCACCAGTGGCTTGGCGCGAGTCGACTGTCGCCGTCCCGCCCTCCTTGGCGAGTTGACTGGGCCGGGCCCTGTTTTGGAAGTCCGGGCACGTAGGTGGAGGTCGCCCTGTTTCCACTGAAAAATAAACAGCCCGGAAGTCCCGGTCCTCTCAAAAACCTCGAGTGATTGGTTCGGGTCCCGCCTCTATATATGACTTCAGAGGGTCCTCTGAGAGTGACGAGCGGTGAAGATGCCACCGAATGGTGAGGCTCCGGAGCAGAGCTCGAGCCTCATCGGTCGGAAAGCCTCCGTTTCTCGGAGGAAAGCCTCCCAGCAGACCATCTGTTCGGTGCGTAGACACCAATCTCTGGACCATCCGGGTGACGAAGTGGATATTTGATGCTCATCTTAAGAGGTCGCCTTCATCGCCTTTATATCGGTCGCAACATCTCAAGCTAGCGCAGATCGATCAGTCGCATGGGTGCTGGGAATACATCACCGGAAGAGACGATCTCCCAAACACGTGAAAAGACATGTTTCAGGTGCGAATTCATATACCTATAAGACAATGGTCCCAAGCACTCCAATGCATCCAATATACAAGAACCGGCCCCTGTAGGTACATGTGAGTGCCTTTTCGTCACTCCTATTTGAGCAACTCGTTGGCAGATCTCATCGTCTGCTCCGGGGTGTGGGGTTGGCGGGCAAGGTCCGCTCTGGTACCGCTCCTCCGCCGACGTCGACGCCCAAGGAGATCAAGGGATCCCGCACGATCTGCAGATTATGCACGAGCTTTGGGCAGTGGAGCGGTACCAGGCTCAGGGGCTCAGCGCGGAGCGCCGCCCGAAGCCTCGCCGCGGTGACATGCCGGTCAGGGGTGGGGTGGGTGGTCCACACGGAGGAGGGGAAAAGTGGGGCAGCTGAAGCAGTGGCAGATGGGACCAAAAATGCCTTCAAATCGCAACCAAGCGTGCCCAAACGTCATCCGAATCCAAGCAGATCTTCCGCGAGGCTTGCAACAAGTTCTGCGCCTCCGCAGGCATCCCAGTGCCTTGGCGTTCAGCCACAGCCAGGAAGATTTCGGTGTAAACAGCCAGTATTCAGGTATAAGGACCCTAGGAGTTTCGGTCGTACCTTACATGGCACATGACCCGAACAGGAAAGAACACAGGTACGGCGCTGGGGAATTTCTTGGTTGTTTCGATCACGGAGGCTCGATCCCAAGTCTCATTCCAAAGACTGAGATCTGACATTGCAGAGTGGAATTATTGGATTCATGGATGGCTGGAATACCCTATAGGTGTGAAAAATTGGGATGCGTCTTCGTGGAATTCATCCAGTGCACGTGGCCTGGATTCGTCTTCGCAGTGTGGCCCGGATTCCGCCCCCGCGGCTTCAGACGATACGTTGACGTTGCGACGCGGACCGTTTGGGGACGGGAGAAAGTGACCCCTCGATGAAAGCAGATCGATGGTTTTGAGTGAACCGGGAAAGAGGTGTAGCCAAGGGACCTTTTGGACCAGCTGGACACAACTTCTTGGCTTGATTCAGCTTGATGCACGGTTCGGATGAGGATTTTTCCCTATGTTGTGAATCCTTCTCTGCAATATGTTGTTGGCCTTTGTTCATCCTCTTTAATTTTGGCCTTTGGTACCTATCACGCTTTCTTGCCAAGGATCTCATTGAAGCTTTGCCAGAGAAGGCACGGGCTCCATTGAAGGAGCAGGTGCCGCCCGTCTTGCGACAGAAGGGCTGAAGGGTCAGCGAAGTCAGACGGCTTGGCACGTCACGTGGCACTGTTGGATGAATGTTGACCTATGATGAACCGAAGATCTACCCCCGCAGACTCAAATGGAAGAGAATTGACCCTTGGCTTCGACCCTTTTCCTCTACAACCCAGTGGTTTTGAGGTTCCACGTCGACCTATGATTGTTTTGGTGGTGAAAACAAGGGCTTCCTGTGGCTTTCCCCGTGACCCTCATTGAGTGGAGTTCACTGGCCTGTTGGTAGCACAGTATAGTCTTTGGTGGGATTTTACGCTGCACTTCCATGACCTCACCTTTGACCAAGCAACATGGGCATGGGTGGCCTTCCAGTTTCGGGAGAATACGAGGACTTCCTACATAAGAGGTGGCCTGCATTGGCCTGCCCTCTTTGTCCAGCAGGGTCCTGGTCGTCCAGAACAAGCTCAACCTGTTTCCAGTATATTGCATATATTATAGTCCCAATGCGTATGTCGATCTGTTCTTCTCCAAGCTCAACAGAAGTTGTCTCGCCAGCGCGTCGCGCCAGCTTGCATATGGAGGTCTCTTCGGAACCACCAGAATCCTTCACAGTGGCCGACCCAACTGACCACCACGCCATCCCGCAGAATCACCTGATCGACCCAGACGGTGTTTCATCCCTGTTTTCACCCCACCATCAGCCCAAGCGGCCCAGCGGCAGGGCCCCTAGGCCCGTCCTTCGACCAATCGGCGCAGGTGGCGCGGATCACGGCCAGGTACGCGGAGCTCTCGCAGAAATACCATCAGGAGCTAGTTAGTAACTAGCCGAGCGTCGGTCCATGGTCCAATGTTGACTTATGTTGACTTACTTAGTGCTCGGTCCTAGGACTTCCAGGCTAGTGGAATGATGAACTTGTTGTTTGCCACTGGTTGACCGGATGACCACGGACCAACTAGGTGCATGGACTTGATGGCCGGACCTCCACTCGGCCTAAGCCACGGGCGCCACGGGCTGTGAGTGGAAGTGTTCATGGAACCGTATGGAACCCTCCGATATATGGTTTTTATGGTCTTGCTTAGTAGTTCCAAGGGGTGCAATTGGATGTGATCCATCCGACGCTCTTGCTTTGTTACATCGCCATCACCAGGCCAGAAGCAGTGAAGATGGGGTGGGGCAGTTGTCACAGGGTGGATTTCTCCAGGATTGGACCGGACCTGGGATCATTTACCTGATAGACTTTAAGGGGATGGAGGGGGTCATTTGCATCGATTTGCATGTTCTTCAGTGTATGCAAGTCATTCTGGAATCACCTACAGATGGGAGAGGCATGAACTGCCAAGCATGTTTCCAAGAAGACCCAAGGAGAACCCAATATATCTCTTATACATCCTTTATACACTGTATATCGCTGTTGACATCATGTTTTTCCACGACTCGTCACCAACTAAACCTTCCTTCAAGAAGAAACATCGTTCATGTTCATTGTGATCCAGGCAATATATCAGCACCGGAGATCACGTGTTCTGAAGTACTGAACAACAGACCCTCTGACTGAGGAGAAGTCGGCGAACTCGGAGAACACCTTGGCCTTCAACTGAAGCGATGTCCTCGCAGCCGGACGGAGCGAGCTTTTCCGGTGCCGGCCTCGGCGAAGCTAGCCAGGCGCCGGTCGCTAAACAGATGTTTTTTGGGAAAGCAAAAAGGAAAGGTTATCTCCTTCAGGCCTTCAGGGAGAGGTGTTTTGACTTCCTTTTCTCAGCTCTCCAAACATCTCCCTCAACTCTGGAGATGTGTTCTCCTCATTCAGGGAGAGGTTTTTGACTTCCTTTTCTGCCTCTAGCTGGTGCACGAAGAAAAGGATTCCTGAGCTGACCATAGTTCCTCAAGAGGAGCGGGGATATAGTTAACGTGCCAGTGAGGGGTTCATGTTTAATGTTTCGTCCCGGACCGGACCATGAACATCTACAAGAAGATTGACCGGAAAGACTACTTGTTTTATCATGGAAAAACTGAGGCAAGTTCTGTACCGAAGGTGATTGTGATGTTTTCTTGGCGCCAAAAAAGAGAATGAGGCGTGTAGAACAATCTCCTTTGCATGACTAACATGATGGAACAAGACGTTCGATTGGAGCTTGGTACCTTCCATGGGCGTTGCCCCCAATCGGAAGGTTCAGACTAGACCTTCCAACTGTGCAAAATCTTTGCCCTGTAGATGAACACGCTCAATGTTTGCACCGCTGGGAGAATTAGGTGTAGACTATGTAGATGCTGGATCAGACCTTTAGACCTTTTGCACCAGGCTCCGGACACTTCAGACCTCGGCTTCCGGCTGCGACGGCTTCCGGCGCATTCCCCACGGTTTCCGGGTGACACAGAACCAGGACGTGCCTCAGGGGCTTGTCCATTTGTGACTCCTGACTCATCAGGTTTGGTACTGGGGTTCGAAAGGTGACTCAGCACATGAGATGGACATGACGAGTTCGCAAGTGCCAGAATCCCATGACGAGTGCTGATTCAGCAGCTGGAAACCTACTGGGATGGAAACCTTTGGGGCCCCGTACTTGTTGCAGTGCTGCATATGTACTGGTTTTTCACATGTTACAATGGACTAGAGCAGGACCATTGCAATGGTGCAAGTAGTGTTGCGGGGGTGTGACGAATCTCAGGATCTATTTGGGTTCTTTTGTGTGTCACTGCTGCCGAGAATAAAAAGCCATCTCTGGCGCGCAGAGAGCTTTCTCTGGGCCCATCCAGTCCAGACTTAGACTCAGAAGGCAGTGGCAGATGGAAAAACGTGCTGCTGCATGCCCAATTGTGTGTTTTTTGTTGGGGGGGTAGGGGTACCATACATCATCGAAATGGATGCTACATAAGTGCATCTTTGCAGGGATGCTGATGTGTGTTGTGCTGATTGCTACATGTAGAATACTTCGATTGGGCCATTCGAGATCACGCGAGAGTTCACTCGAACCAAAACAACAGCAAGAATCAGGTTCTCAGGTAAATACGGAGAGTTCAGGTATTTTCAAATGAAGTTTTGACCAGATTTTCACAACGGCAAGCTCTATAAATTCTTTACTTCGAGTGATCCCCACCATGGCAGTTCAATTATTTGTTTTCATGCCATGATGAGGAGCATGTTGCCATGGTCTTGTGGTTCTCGATACCTGTGAGTCCTCCGGTTTGGGGTTGCTGTTTAGCATTGGGGAGTTCGTGTCGGGGTGTCGCCAGGGTCTACAGCTGGCATTCTCTCCAAATTGCGACCCACTGACCTTGCCTCTCTCCCCACTTTGAGAAACCCCCACGTCATCGACATACCCCGGCCCCGCACCACCGTGGTGGGTCCGAACCGGATCGGAGACCGCGGTTCCGCGGAACCGCGACCCAGAACCGCCGACCGGGCCAGGTTCCAAGGGATGAGTTGCTCGGCGGATCGCAGCGTCATCCTCTGGGATCTCCAGGCGACCGACCAGAGGGGTCGGTCGGAGGACACGGGTCCGTCGCAGGGAGGGACACGGAGCGCTGAGTGTCGCGGGTGAATCCCAAAGACGCGGGGACATCGAGATTTGGTATGTCGGGTGGGGGGGGGTTTTCCAAAGCGGAAGAGAGGTCGACCTTTGTGGTGCAGGTTCTATAGGGGAGGAAGGTGGGGAAGATGCAGTGCAATGTGCCAGACGTGCCAAAAATGGCTTCGAGACACCCAGCTACTTGGTGGCACGTTCAAGGTAGGCACGTTCAAGGTAACAAGTCAAACCAGGACCTGAGCCGAACTCGGCTCACGGCATACACACAGTGTGACCGAAATACCTGGGATCATGTGGATCTCTCAGGGACGGACACAAACTTCGCATCCTTTCCATTCCACCCATCTAAGACATAATCGCACCATGGTCCTGCACAATAGCACCAGTTTGATTTTTGCGGAAGATACAATAGATATCAATAAATAATATATTACATTTAGTATTTATCCTGTTTTCTGCTGGGGTGATTCTTTCTCATATATGATGAATCCCCCTTGGACACATGTTTTTTGCCGCTTCTTCAAGCAGATCGCAACCGAGCTCGATCCACCTCAGGGTAGATCCATGATCGACCCACGTCTCCGGGACCCGGGCGACCGGGGCGAGACCCTTGCGCGGGATCCAGGTGGCGGAGCCCTTGCAGAAGTTCCGAGGACATCCGGGCAGTGTTTGGTGCATGTCTGGAGCCCCGGCGGAGTGTACGAGTACGGCACTGGCCGAATTGAGCAAAGCAGTTCAGCCCATTTGAGGGAAAAGCAAGACGTATACGGTTTAGATGGTGGGCAGGAGGTACTATACTCTGAAAGTGTGACACTGCAGTTGGTATTTTGTCATTCCTTCAACCTATGGAGGACTTCAGGACACTGCATGGGTTCAGGAAGCCTAGCTTTGCCTAGGGGATGTTTGCATGGGAAAAAGAACTGACAAAGTGCCCTTTCACTATCAGGTATACGTATTCAAGTGGTTGACCCGAAAAAATCTGAGGAAAACAAGCACGAAAACCAAGAGGGTTGAGGTCTTCACGGCTTGGCTAATCCATCCCCATGTTCATGCTAAGCATCATCCACGTCACGTGACTCATGGTTGACTCTAGACTTGGATGTTTGAAACGTAAATGTGAGGAGTTAGAGTAGAGTGTGCTGCTTCAGTTTTTTAGAACTCAGAAACACAGGTTTGGATTTCCACAGGGAGATCCCTAACCAATGGAGAGAAAAACAACACATCATACAAAGAAACTTTATACCAGTCCAGGGGTCCAGTCAGTCTCTGAATTTTTTTTTCGGCTTTGCAACTTGGCGCATTGCCTGCATCCAGCCAACTGATGGGATTCTGTTGATGTCTCTTGATGTTGTTGGTTGCTCATGCCACCCGCCGCCGGGCTCAGGGACGTGGATTGGTCCGGGCGCCGGATGGTCACAGGACGGGGGTTCTGTGCCGTGGCCGAAACGTCCTGGTGCTGGTGGAGTCACAACTTGAAGCCCAAACCAGACGATGTCAACCACCAGTCAACCAGCCACCTCTGGCCGACCTTCTCACCTTCGAAAGCGGCTATTTCTTTACTTGGAGTGTCTGCCCTAAGGATCAGAACGGACCCGACCACCGAACTGGAGGGTGACCTGACCCTGCAGGTTTTGACCCTGGGGCCCTTGGACCCGAACCACACCGTCACCGAACTGAGGGTCCTGATCCTTAGGGTAATATACATTAACCCCATTTACGTATTACGAACTCTTCCCATGGATGGTCTGGGAGGGATGGCCTTGTACTATTGGGTATATTGGGTGGTTGATTCACGGGAAGGGGATACCCCCGGTCTTTTTCCCAATTGTATGGTACCTGGCACCGAATCCCTCTATTGATTCCCAAGATCAGACATCCTTGGTTGAAGCAGCTTCTTGTTACGTACTAGTTCCTTGCTCTTACGTAGTAGTAAGGCGTCCGAGCACCCCGTTCGGGTCGCGTTTACAAACGCTCCGTTCGAGGTCGCGATGCCAGGAGCCCCGTGCGTAGCTTCACCTTGTTACTACCCAAAAAACAAGGTCAGCCTGGCCGACCCGAACCGGTCGCCCAGTGTTTGGGGCGCGGTTTGGACCGGGACTACGGGCTGAGCTGGAACCAAGCGGCTGAGTGTTTGGGTTCGACGCGTTGGAGGCCAAGAATCATATGGCCCTTGGGCTGTGGAATCGCTTGGGCTGTGGGAAACAGAGTGCTACGCTGGGTGTGAGAAACATAGCTGTCAGGCTGCCTTTTTGGAGATGTTCCACGTATTTCCACGTATTTCCACGTTCACACGTTGTCCTCCAGCAAGTCACCCCAAGGTGTTCGTTTCAAAGACGGTCGATTGGGCTGCCCAGGGTGTTCACCACACAACCAATAGGAAACCATATATTTGTGGTGCCTTGGTCTTCTCGGAAGCCTAAATCTATAAAGACGCCCAAGAAAAACCAAACCCAGACACCCCACGGGACTGCCATAGAAACGGCCAGGGGTGGTTGAAGTCGGGGTCAATGTAGATCGGCCAATATCTATGCCAATCCCATTCGTCGTGTCTGGGAAAAGGTCTTCTCCTCCCTCTTGACCAGATCCGCCTGTCGACGATTTCCGTTTGGTCGGAACCGCAGGATCAGGTCCCGGAGATAACTCCATCATGGTTTGGGACCGACCCGTTGCGTCGTCCGCGTTGGTCGCGACCGGCGCTTGGGTGCTGGGACCGTTGGCGGTACTGGGGTAGGTGGTGGGTTTTTTCGCGGCGGGTGAAGTCAAACAGGTGGGCAGACGGTCTACACAATGTCTACATTGTTTCGCGAAGAAACGGAAAGAGAGGTGTGTTTTTTCTTGGGGGGAGAGCTGGGTTTTGAGGTTGGAGAATGATGTCGTATTCCCCCGCTTCCTTGGTAGTATACCTTTTTGATCCTTTTTGGCTTGTACCTGGACTCCGCAGTTTTTTTTGTTGCTTTGTTGATGAGTTCGGGCGATTTTCGTCGAGCAATGCCACATCTACAGGGTACTCCATGCCCCAGACACTCCATGTATGCCTTATATGCGTACCCCCCAAAACCACCCCAACTGATCGG